GCATCAACGCACTTGCGGCTGTGCTTGGCCGTCGACCCGACGATCTGGTAACCGCAGTGATCGTCGTGTGCGGCAAGTATATCGTGTCCCCAGCCCTTATCGCCATTCTTCCGATCTGAAGAAGAGATTCACAGTCTCGACAGCAGCATCTGTTCGGCCCTCGACCCTGCGAATATGCTTCCAAGAGAGAAGGCCCTAAGGTCGGTCGACATCGGTTGTGTCTTCGGGACAAGGATAGTAGTTCGGCATGTACTCGAAGACGCAGGGGTCGAGTCGTATGGGCCTTGGGGCATCGCACGTATCAGGGCAAGCTGACGCCTGGTACAGAATGGAGAGGTCGGTGCTGTGAGCTTCCTAGGATCGCGACGTCAAAGAAAGGCTTAGGCTTCTCTTTCAGGTCGTGTGGGTCCACTACGATTACCGAGCTATTGCCGATGACATTGCACTACAAAGTACCTGAGCCGTGATCAGACACCGAGGCACACACTGTACGCCACTTCCTCAAGGGCATGCAGTTGTCGATGGCGGGGGATAAGAAGAATTCTTATCGATATCTCGCCTTGCTGGAGGTGGGGTGAGCGCATTACCCGCCAGGCCGAGCTGCTTACAAGCACCATGGTCATCAGCTCTCGAGTACAACGCGTAGCACAGCTGTCTTCAAGTCCAGAGGAGAACGAAAAGAGCCAGATGAGACAAGCGGTGAATATCTGAAAACGTGGCTGACAGCTGGGCTGTGAGGTGAGAGAGTGGGTGTCATTGCAGCAACACCGCCCAGAGGCGAGCCGTACTTCTCGACGTAGATCTCTCAATCTGGGCGGGAAAAATGGGCAAAAAGCTCGAGAAACACGCCAAAGAATAGCATGCTCGCAGCTTTGGGGAGATGCACTGCGCTCCAAGCTACAGGCCTAGGCTCGAATCAGGGCCGTCGGAAGGCCCGTGGCAAAAAAAGAGGATCCGAGTGGTCCGGAATGTTCAGCGAGCTTCGACTCGAGACTAGGCCTTTTTGCCGTGGCGACAGCCCTTGCACGAGGAGCGCAGAGCTACACAGTACCTACAAAGCACAGACGAGCTAGAAGACCGTGCCGATGATTCGCGTTCTAGCCTGGATACCGAAAGCACTGTACGGGAGTCAGACGGGCACTTGACGTCAACCACTCCATCGGAGGTCGAAGCCGAGAATGCAC